AAAGAAGTTTAGACCACCTGGATTATTTACGAAAGTTCTTTGGAAGGTTGCATAAGTATAATTTGAAGTTGAATCCAACAAAGTGTGAGTCCATATTCAATTTACTGAAGAAGGATGTTGCCACAAAATGGGCAGGGGAATGCCAAAATGCTTTCGATAAAATCAAAGAATATCCAATCTACCAGTATTGGTCCCACCAGAGCTGGGAAAGCCTTTGTTATTGTATCTATCTATCATGGATAATGCATTTGGATGTGTATTGGGGCAGCATAATAAGACATGTAGAAGAGGTAGAAGAGAGCAAGCAATTTACTATTTGAGCAAGAAGTTTACACCATGCAAGACAAGATAAAATGAACATGTTGCGCTTTAACTTAGATCGCACAAAAATTTATGCATTACTTGTCAGCATACACCACGAACTTGATCTCAAGAATGGATCCACTCAAGTACAACCTTCAGAAACCCATTCCTACAGGTAAGCTGGCAAAGTTGAAAATTTTGTTGAGTGAGTTTGATATCGTGTACGTGACACAAAAGACTATCAAATGACAAGCCCTAGCTGATCACTTCGCAAGAAACCCGGTGTACCGGGATTACAAACCGCTCACAAACTACTTCTTTGATGAAGAGGTTTTGTTTGTAAGAGAAGATATATCAAAGTCATATAATGGATGGAGGATGTTATTTGATGGAGCATCAGACTTTATTGGAGTTGGAATATGTTCAGTCTTAATTTCGGAAACAGGCTAGTATTACCCAATCTCAACTAAGATTATGTTATACTGTACCAATAACATGGCGGAATATGAAGCTTGTAATCTCGAACTCAGGATGACCATCGACATGAACATCAAAGAACTTTTGGTGATATGAGATTCTAACTTTTTGGTTCACCAGGTGCAAGGAGAATGGACCACTAAGAATTTCAAGATCACGCCTTATCTGAATTGCATAAAAGAGTTGAGTAGGAGATTCATAAGAATTGATTCAAACATGTCCTTCGAGCTCAAAATGAGTTTGTCGATGCCTTGACAATATTGTCCTCGTTGATTCAAATCCAGACAAGAATTACATCGACCATATCGATATAGAGATACATGATCAACATGCATACTATTTTCATGTAGATGAGAAACTGGATGGAAAACGCTGATACTATAACATTAGAAGATTGATAGAAGTACAAGAATATCGACCCTATCGATATGAGGATACATAATAAATTTGTTTGAATTTATATAGTACATCAACTTCTACAGTAATGTGCTATTTACATTGGAATTGATTATTGAAAAGTAATTGATAAGTTCAATTTTCATCAATCATTACATAGAGAACCTTATTCATAGACACTATATTACAATTCCTTACAAAATAAGAGGCTATAAACTATTTCTATGTTGTAGAATTGTATATACCTATTATATTTTAACAGTAACCTCATGTTCGTATAATCTTACTCGACCTGAATAGTTAGGTGCTATAATAGTTGCATATGCATCAAATGATTGACTACCATATTCAGTTACTTGAGTTTCTATTATCTTCATTTTCAGCCTACAAATCAGATTCAAGAGGATAAGTTCAAGTAAATTAAATTGATCCAATATTTAAGAACAAGAAATAATCTCGATAAAATTTGAAAGAAGAAAGCTCTATGCGTTGTATCCTCATATTTTCAAGATCAGAGTCTACACCTTGGACGCGACTGACACTCAAGAATCATTATTGATCCCCAAATGAAGCCTCATCTTGGCTGGCTACAAGCAGAAGACTAACTCAAAAGCATACAAAAGTTTAAAAGTGAAATAAATTCAGTAACTCAAATGCTCAATTTTACTTTTTTTATTTTTTTATTTTCATTATACAAAATTTTATTTAACATTTATAAATTACTACATGTTCTTTAATTAAGTTTTTAGTATCCTTAATTATTTTTTATGTAATATTTCTATAATATTAATTTTAGATTTTAAAGTTGACGTTTATAATTCAGTTTTTGTATATATGATTATTCATATAAACTTAAGTTAATTTTATTTTAAATTTATAATTTGATAAAAGTATAATCATAACCTTCAGATATATATATATATATATATATATATATATATATATATATATATATATATATATATATATATATATATATATA